TCCTTCAAGGCCGCATTTCATACTATAAAACTACATAACATAAAAATATACTTACGCGGCTGCCGGAGCGCCCCGGAGTTGTTCCATTTGAGCGGTTCACGTTCTGAGCATCCACTATATTGTTACTGCATAACGACGCTGAAGGAGAGAAATCACGCGAAAAAAGGCGACGTCTCGGTGTGCAGCGGTTGCTACTTTGCGACGTTGTCGGTATGGTAGACGAACAAGCAGATAACTCTAGAGATGACAACTCACATATGCCAGTCGTGCTATCCATGGAATTGGAGGCAACTGAACTGTTGGCAGTAATTGTTGGTGATTGCAACGACAGAGTAGCGACCAAGATCGGTTTGGCGGAAGGAGAATTGTCCAACGAGCCATTATCATTAACGTTTTTCAGGCAAATATTCGCGCTACTCATTTTGGCAGTAAGTTGTTCGAGCAAGTGCTGTTGTTGCCTTCGAATAACTGGTGCATTCGTTGCTGTTCCGTTTTTTGATGTGCCAACAATTCTAGGAATTTTTGACGGTGTTCAGTTTCAATGTCGTTAAAGTGTAGGTTGTTTGTTGCTGGCTCGCGTGCAACTTCTGTCGATTTTTTGTCTGAAGGTATGCTCGGCATCGAAGTTCTGGTCTTCATTTGTTTGATAGATGAGGTGCCGCAAGCTGATTTTTTCAGTTGGCGCCCCATCTTTGGTTTGGTGACCTTTTGTTCATATGGCGAACGTTTTATTTTGTTATTAGTTGAATGCGAAAGGGACGGAGTGGTTATGTTTGTGGTAGAAGGCTTTAGCTGTAAGCGCGTTGGTACTGAACGGGATTTCAAATCTATTTTCTGTACACGCTTGGCTTTTGATTCCACAGTGTCGCGTGTAGCACTAATGGAAAATAAATTCAAACGCTTAGTGGGGTAATTATTGTTAGGGGGTAATTTTTGTTGACGGATATGTTCGATTAATGCTTCTGAAGGACCCTCTAACGTGAATGAATTGGAGCGGACCAAACCGTTGTGACTCTGTGAACCATGTGTCACGCCTAGAGAATCGGGAGCGATCTGTGTTCTCTCCGAAGTTCCTGCATTCAACGATGGACTTGTGGCTGATCGCTGCGGAGGCCTTATATTAGAACATTTCGCTGTGTCTTCTTTTTGTTCCGTTGTAGAAAAGTTTTCGAACTTGATAATTTTGCTAGTAATGTTCGTTACCTTCCGATGTGTTTTAAGGTCACGTTCAAGATTTGTCGTGGACCCTGTATAATTGAAGCTTTCATCTGAACCATATTCTTCCATCAATGACTTGTTTGTTTCCTTGCTGGCTTTCTTGTCATTATTCACATTTATAATATCAATGCTACATTGCTGATTTATACTGTCACTAAAAGTACACGTTGCTGTGATTGGTGTTGGCGGATCAATGCATATTGATGGTATTTTCATTAAAGATTTATCCATGCATGGTTTGGGTCTCTGATGTATTTGAAAATTGGGATTTTCATCCTCGTCAACTTCATATAAATAAACTTTACGTTCTAAAGGTTTCTGTTTCGGATGGTCCAAATTAATTTGCTGCTGCTGTTGTTGAAAAAGTTTAATTTCATCTTCTGATAAAGGTGTTAAGAGTGTATTGGAACCATGTTCAATGATCAATGTTTCGGATTTTTTTAACTTTTGCATCCGCTGCATGAGATTCGTTTCCGAAGACCGTAGTTCGACAATTTCTAAATCATTATTACGAGCTTCTCCGGAGGCTTGACGGTTCATTTTGCAATTATTTTGATTAGGTATAATCGATGAAGAACCGACTTCATTTTGAACTAAAAGATCTGAAAGCAACAGATATGATTTTTCAACTTCTTCATGTTGATTATCTTGTTTTATGTGTTCAGACACACTACTGCTGCTGCTGCTGCTAATATCGTGGTTATTACTCCCTCCTATTTGATCTAGTTTTAACTCTTCACCGACCGTGGAATATTCCAAGTTATATCTCCCCCTTCTGCGACGACATTCCTCAAGGCGCTGTTCAACCTTAACTGCCTTCTCTTTAAATTTTTGCATTTGCCGGCGTTTTTCTTGCGTAATCTTAGAAATACAAGCAAAATTATACCCAAAAAAGAATAAAAAAACTTGCAACCAGTGATGCGCTCAGGGCCAGTTTTTCAGTGCACAGCCATGGTTTAAACTAAGTTTAAACGCCCGATTTGGCTGGTTTAAACTCAGATCAGCGAATCAAATGCCAGCCAGCTATCCAATTTAAACTCAGTTTACTTAATCTAAGTTTAAACTGGCACTGAAAAACTGGCCCTCAGCGTTACTCGACCGCTAATCTCATATATGTATATGTATGCACCCACGTACTTACCAATGGCGGTAAAATTGGAACTCCATCGATGCGGAACATCGAAACGTACTTCTGCGCGTTTGCTTTTGATAGCGTTTTTTTATTTATGGGTTCATCTAATGATGCACTCATTTTTTCTGCATTAGTTTCTTCCATATTAAAGTCGGGATGTCTGAAAAAATTCCGTTGCTCTATGGTTAATTTAATTAACAATAAAAATATTGATCCGAAAACTTTTTACGGTAATACCATTCAGAATAACTTATATTCCATTCATATCATTCTTAATTTAATAGAGCTAAAATCCAAAAATATTAAAAACATATGAAAATTCAGAAATAGTTCAAAATATTGACTTTTTGTTTTCATCTAATTACTTTGCCCACGTTTCTATGACTACCAACCGTGTATAGGTGAAAACAACACTAATTTTTGTGTATAAGGATCTCTTTACGATTAACTGGAAATTGAAAATACTAATTGTTTCTAAAACTTAATAAATTATTCAAATCAACTAGAAGAAAATTATCGCGCCTGCTAATAAATCAGGTAATCAGCAAAAACACACGAACAACTTTGACAACAACCAGCAGATGTCAAGCGGATGCCTCCTCTTTGATTATGCAAAATGAATTCACAATAGATTCTCTCCTGGTCGCAACGCGGAATCACGCGTGGCCTCGCGATTTTAGCATCTAGAAAACATTTCTTTCTTTCCCTCTTGCGCGATCTTGTGTGTTTCGTTCATGCCAGAAATCAATCCCGACTCAAGGCGCATCAATTACAGGTGATAGCGATAGAAGCTATGCTTCTTCTTATGAGCACGCTTGTATTAAATTATCGTCTGTTTTGCTTTATTTACATCATCGTATATACTTACAAGTATGGAATCCTATGCCCCTTTTTGTCTATTCTCTCTCTAACAGCGGACGTGCCTGCCAAACAGCGGACGTGCCTGCCACCAAACTGAAAAGCATGATGGCGGCAGTGTTTGACAGGCACGTTCGACGATGCGAACGGCAATGGAAGGTAAGAAATGGAAGATGGATGACATGGGAATGAAAGAATTATGAAATAGCAGAATGTCGAATCAAAACGAATTTCAAAAATCTGACAATGCGAATGACGTCAAAATGAAAGAAATGCAAAATACAAAAATGTCGAAACAGAAGAAATAGATGACAGGCACGTGTTCAAGGGTTACGTGCAACAAAAAGAGTTGTTGTGTTGCGCCATTCAATATTAAAAAAAAGTAATGTGGTTAATACGCTTTTCTATTAAGTTGAAAAATTACATATTTCGCCAGCCAAAAAGTGTATAAATAAATATATAGCATCTTGCTATAAGATTTATTTATAAAAACGGTACATGCTTATGACCTTATTCATAAAAAAGAAAATAGATGTAAAGTAACATTAAAAAAATCGATTTGTTTACTTTTTAAGAATTTGGGAAAAACATTTAACTAAAGTTTTTGTGCACCCATCTCTTTTTCTGTTTATTATTTTCAAATTTTTCTTTTCCTTAATACTCATTGAGTTTTCATTTACACCCAGCAAAAATCAAAATATTTTATAAGAAATTTGTTGACCGTTTCTCGCACACTTCTCTCATGCTTTTTTATCGTAGTTATTATTCTGTTGACATCTAAATTGCCATAAATTTTATGTTGTTGACAATACATTGTTTTCCGGCGCTTCCTCTGTGAACTTTTATAACTACATTCATAAAAATATTACTAATTTTGGTTTATAATTTTTTTCCATCTTGTTATTGCTGAATATCAAAAAGGAATTAATAAATAATAAAAAGTTAGTTACAATTTTAGTGAATGGTTCTTGCAAATAATATTATTTTATGGTTGAAATGACTTGATCGCCGGCAGGAGCTTATCAACTTTTTTGCCAAAACCAAAGCAGACGGGAAGGAAAAATAGTTGTTCATTAACGATTTGTCTGAAATATCGTTCTTGAAACGCGTTACCCTGCCAGCCAAAAGTGGTGAAAAATCTGGTGAAACCGCGGGTTTCAGTCACTTCAAAACTGGTGACAAAACTGGTGACATTTGTATGGGCGGTGTGCAGATTGTCACCACTTTCCCCCTGTACGTGTGATCCTTGCATCACTGTCGCACTCATTCAGATACTTCATAAGGAAAACATATAGCTGCACTCGTCTAGCATTGCCCACTTCAGCTGGCACAGGGTTGCAATCTATTCACAGCGAATTCAAAATAACCTTAAAAACAATAAATAAAAAGTCTAAAATTTTTTTTTGATTTTTATTTTGCAAAATTTATTTTTCAAAATGCATTGTTAACCTAATATACATAGTTAGTAATCAATATTATGAATAAAAATTACAATTAACATTAATAATAAAGATTTTTTTACATACTTATGTGGTTGCCAATTGCTTATTATTACTACTACTCCTTTGCAAATATATGTTTTCAAAAGTTGCAAATTTTCTATAAAATAGTTAAGCGATTTTAACAGTATTATAATCAAAAGAAAGGTAATCGATTTACCTTTCTTTTAATATATATTAACAGTTGCAAATCATTTATGGTAGTTCAGAAAAATTAAGTTTTCTTACAACTTTGCAAAATTTGACAAGCTGGACCTACACTTTGAAGGTGTTCCTGCAGGTCAATGTGCTGAGGGCGGAAGGTACCCATGGTGCTCCTGGCGATGAAGGAGCTGAGGGTAGAAGGTACTGGTGGTGCTCCTGGCGATGAAGAAGCTGAGGGCAGAAGGTTCTAACAGGCTAACCTAATATTCACGCACGTCGCCAATTTACTGTCAAAAATTTCTCATGCACATACAACTTGTATGGGACCAACCGAAATTGAACGGCGTGCGTATGAAGTTAACTCAATTTCCAATTTTTGTTCTGCGTGACATTTTGATTTGACGTTTCGCTCAATGAAATCAAATGCAAACGCACGCAAGCCAATTTCGGGTGACGCAAAAAAACAAATTCGATGGCGTGCGTACCAAAACGCAAGCCGCGAATATATGGTTAGCCTGTAATGGTGCTCCTGGCGATGGAGATGCAAGCGTTGAAGGTGCTGATGGTGAATCCCAATCTGTTAACAAACAAAAATATCAATTCAAATTTATAAACATATAAAAAGTCTCAATACATACCTTAAGAATGTGACTAAGTCGCTGCTGTTTTGCAATCTAAAAGAAGAAATTACATCATAATTAAATAAAATTGTTAAATACGTATTCTTACCTTCAAAATTTTCGCAAAGTGACATTTCTTCACAGTATGTATACTGTCATCAAAACTCCGATGTTTCTAACTTGCTCGCTCTAACGCATAGCATTCTTATTAGAGTACGAATTCTTATCGGGTATGTAGCTCTAACAAAGGGAAATTTTTTTGACAGTTCGAACAAAAAATTTGTAGGTGTGTGGGTGAGATGACTAAAAAGTTGTCAATGTGTTTGTAAATCGTTTGATTTTCAGGGGAAAGTGGTGAGCCGTGGCTGGCAGTATACTGCTCACTAAATTTGTAAAAATAAAATTTTTTCACTTAATTGTTATATTCTTCCTCATTGTGGTAAACTTACTCATCATCACAGCAGGGCGCAATCTTCTTTTCTATGATTATTGTATCGCTACTTTGAATTTCTCAATTTTGACAATTCTCATCTAAAAGTAAACGAAACCTCAGAAACTTTAAATGCACTGAAATTCACTAATACCCACTTCCGCAAAAATCACCTTATTTCGTATTTCCTTTGTTAAAAGTTATTGTAAATCATATATTTTTATTGCCTTATTAATAAAAAATTAAAATTTAAAAAGCTTTTTAAATTGCCGTTCACAAACATTTTTCAATTTATAAGCCTTTTTTAAGTTACTTTGTTGTTTATGAATAAGGCTATTACAAATTAGCACAATCAAAACACGTTCCTTATCGAAAAATTTATTATTAAGAAAATTTGCTGTTCTCACATTTTCTTTCAACATCCAAATCGACCTTTGTTACTTTTTGTACAGATATGTCATCGCCGCCAGGACGGCGCAACTCCTATTATATCTTTCTTGTCAAATATGCATTTAGATCTAACTGTCATACTACTATTAATGGTAACCATGAATATTCATTAAAATCGTTTCAATTCGTAATAAAAGTAATTTACATANGTATTCTATCTTTCTTGTCAAATATGCATTTAGATCTAACTGTCATACTACTATTAATGGTAACCATGAATATTCATTAAAATCGTTTCAATTCGTAATAAAAGTAATTTACATACTGCTAGTGTAAATATATTTTTTAATATAAACTACCTTTCTTAATTCTAAAATAAATCAACAATCGCAAGATTTATAAGAAAATTGTCTTCAAAAAATACGTCCCAAATCATCCCTGTTGATATTATAATTCAAATGCAAATTAGAATAGAAATTTTGATACAAAAATTTTTCCGCGATATTCATCATACAAATTTATCAACTTACTTGTCCGTATGTCGCTCTGGAAAGAAATATATTTTAACCGATATGTTTTCTTGAAAATAAATGCAAATTTACCTATTTTTTCCACCGGCAGGCACGAATATGATATTCAAAACAGAAGCAATGACAACGAATTTTACACACATTGTTGTATTTTAGCGCAAAACGATAAGTTTCACAAATATTTTAAATTATTGCCTGGAACATACACATTTATCGTTATTATTGGAAATGCAAGACTTGGCACGCATTTTTAATTTCTTTTTTATTGAATTCAAATGAATAAAAACACATTTTTCTAAAATATTTCTCAATTTACATTTTAAAGTTTTTTCTGAAACTTGAATGTAACTCTGTGCGGAGAATGAGAGAATTGGAAATCAGGTGATCTCAGCTGTTTTCAAATGTAAACAAACAAAATGGC